GCATGTTGCTAAATCAGTTGTAGGCCCAAGATTGAACTGGCAAACTCTGACCTCTGGGGAAAAAAATTATATATTTAATACAGATCTTTCCTGCCTCCACTTGGTGGCAGCCATCTTCTGTCCTTTTCCTTCCCCCTATTATTTTTTTTAATAATTTTCCAGTCACATGTGGTTATATTTCATTGTATTATTTTAATAAGTTCCTAAGCACCTTGGGGACACTTTTTTTAAGTGGAAAGATGGAGTATAGATGGAATGAATTAATAAATAAAGTCATTTGCTTTGGGTTTCCTGTCATTGTGATGTTGTTGCAAAATTCTCTGTTGTAAACTGACCAGAATGGGTAGTATATAAATTGACTGACTGACTGACTGACTGACTGACTGACTGACTGATTGATTGATTGATTGATTGATTGATTGATTGATTGATTGATTGATTGATTGATTGATTGTGATGGGTGGAATCCACCAGGCTTAGTACAAAGGTTCCTAACACTGAAGACTCTTCAGTGCTCACCTCCATTGTGGTTGTACTGGAACATTTCTCATTTATAAATCTGATATAATGATGTGGCAGAGTTAGTACTTGTAAGGAAGTAGTAACCTAAGGTTCTGTGGAAAGGTGGAGGTACCATCTAAGTATTTTTGGACTGAGGCCCTTTGTTCTTCAGAAGGAAATCTTACTGAACATGCAAAAAGAGATGCTACACCATTTTGCAAAGCCAAGCTGACAATTCCTTGCCCCCAGAAATGTTTTGTGGAAATGGGATGCAGGTGGTTTAACTCAAGATATACCTCCCATGCTTTTACTTGGTATTATTGTCTCCTGATTACCTCTGCCATAATAAGAATGGAAGTATTTCCAGCTCATGCCCAGGCTTTTTTTGGCCCCAAAAACTGCCCTAAGAGATTTTAAGGAGGTATTTTGAAGAGAAGGAAGATTTTGGGAGGAAATAAATTAGGGAAACCACACAGAGTGAATGAAGGCCACCAACTAGAAGCAGCAGCAAAGGAAACAAATTTAATTAACACAATTAATTATAAACTACAAGTGCCATTTTTGTGGGGTGTGTGGAATCTAACAAACTTGTCTGGATAACTTAAAAGCTGCTTGATGGTTTTTGCTTATTCCTCGAAAATGTATTATCTTGTTGTCATCTGCATTTATCGACTGACTGAGGCGTACATTTTGAAACAAAATATTATTTTAAACAATGAATAGGTTGCTTGCTGGGTATTTGTGATTATTTTATTTCATTTGACTTCTCTGCAAATCTTGACTTCTCTGAAAATGGAGACAGGCACAATTTCACCCTGAGTTGGATAGCTCAGTGGTTTAGGTCTCTGGCTGCAGAGCCAGAGGTTGGGAGTTCAATTCCCCACTGTTCCTATTTAACAGAGGCTGGACTCTATGAACCATAGGATCCTTTCCAGCTGTGTAGTTCCATAATTATTGTCATAATATTGCCAATTAGAACTCCTTGTTCATCACCCCCTACTGCAGCCTTCTGCCATGGTGCTCTGAGAATTTTTCTTCCAAATTTCCCTTTTTAATTCTTGTTGCTAAAGCTTCTGAAAGGTGAAAGAAGTGGACTGCAAAAAGCTCACACTAAAATAAAGAAGACCAAAACGTTGTGGCCACTGGTATATTTTAATATGAACTTTCATGGTTCAAATTCAATTGGGCATGGATGCTGTTGAGGCATGGTGCTATTCAAATAACTGATCACTCCGTTCTCTGGCAGAAGAGTTACGCTTTGACCTGGGCAAGCAAGAATCTTTGCAACTGAACCTCCCTACGTGGAAATCTGGCAGGGAGGAATGGAGCTACCCACACCTCTTGTTGTTGTTGTTATCTCTGATCTATACCTGAACTTTTGGATCTCACTCTCCAAGAATCAAATCCATTGAATCTTGGCTTGCACATTTGTAAGAATCTTGTAAGCTAAATTGGTAGAAAAGCTCACACATCCCTGGATATCTTGAGCAAGGATTTGCTCAGGAGTCTATATAGTTCAGGCTGTTTATCAGTCCTTAAAAGGTATGCCATGCATGATATAGAAAACTGGCCTCTGAGTCTGAACCAGCCAAAGTTTCAGTGAGTTTACGATTGAGTCCTGATGAAGACAGAAAGCCACCAGTGCGTGAGAATGGTTATCACATAGATTCTTGATGGGATATCTTGAGCAAGGATTTGCTCAGGAGTCTATATAGTTCAGGCTGTTTATCAGTCCTTAAAAGGTATGCCATGCATGATATAGAAAACTGGCCTCTGAGTCTGAACCAGCCAAAGTTTCAGTGAGTTTACGATTGAGTCCTGATGAAGACAGAAAGCCACCAGTGCGTGAGAATGGTTATCACATAGATTCTTGATGGGAAAGCAACATTTATTTGTTTGTTTGTTTGTTTTATTTAATTTAATTTATACCCCTCCCATCTAAACCAAAGTTTGCTTTGGGCAGCTAACTACATACATACATACATACATACATACATACATACATACATACATACATACATTTGTAAAAGTTCAAATCTGTACTGTGCTCCTATGCTTATGGCTCCCATGAAACAGATGTGCCATATATATCGATAGATAGATAGATAGATAGATAGATAGATAGATAGATAGATAGATAGATAGATAGATAGATAGATAGATAGATAGATAGGTAGATAGATAGATAGATAGATAGATAGATAGATAGATAGATAGATAGATAGATAGATAGATAGATAGATAGATAGATAGATTCAAGTGGCAGAGAACCAACCAACAAGTTTACAATTCAATACCTTATCCCATCTCTGTATCAGGGTGGGGTAACGAAATTGTGCAGCCTGTTTATCTGGTTGGCAGGAGCTGGGACAAGCGACGGGCGCTCACTCCATCATGTGGATTCAATCTTACGACTGCTTGGGCTTCTGACCTTGCAGCACAGAGGCTTCTGCGGTTTAACCTGCAGCACCACCACATCCTCAAAGACCCACATAGGGCAGCCCCAAACCAGTGTATTGGCCACCCAGATGCCTCGAAAGTGTGGGGGGAGGGGCTGTTAATACTGCCACTCAAACAGCACTGTGTTAACCATTCCCTTACTGGATTTTTTTTTTTTTTTTGAAATGAAAAAGACCTAAAGCAGCAGATGCAAAACATGAGGAGGTTTCAAATGGAAAATGTCAGTGTCCGGAGCCTTCCAAAATCCTGTGCAAGAGGTCAATACAACGCTAGGGATGCAACCTGAAGCTGTTTTCTGGACCCATAGTAAAATTCTACGAATGAGTCAATACACAATTAAAAAAAAATATTGCCTGGAAGCATCTCTTACGATTGCTGGAGATGGAGACTCCTCGGGGCAGGGAACTGAACGATCAATCCGCAAGGCTAACAAGAGGCGCCAAGCGGGGAGAGAGTCCAGGATCAGGGCAAGATCTAGAAAGATCTTTGCTCTAGAAAGGGGCAAAGGCTTTGGCCAGAGTTTCTCCCCTATAAAAGATGCTGCCTTTAAAGATTCCCCTCCTCCCTACCCCCAAAACACGAATCCATGCCCTCTAGCAGTCGATTAGGTAGGGCTTGGGTTTGCCTTGCCAGGAGCCGGGCTTGGCTTCAGTCACATGATGAGAAGTGGGGGGGGGAAAGCAACATCGCCCTCAAAGGAACAGTAAAGGGAGCACTTCCGAAGTAGAAATCGGAGTCGGGGCCGGATTTCTGGCCGTCAGGAAGGTGAGGAGGAGGAGGAGAGCGGGGTGGGGTGGGGGTTGAGGAGGAGGAGGAGGAGAGCGGGGTGGGGGTGGGGGTTACCGGCGGAGCCACCGTCTGGAAGAAGGAAAGGGAGGAAGAGGAAGGGAGTGGAAGGCGGTGGGGAGGGGGAAGAGCGAGCTGTAAGACAGTCACATTGCAAGCATGGACTATGGACACGCATCAGCCCACGGTCTCCTTGCACGAATGAAAGCAGGTTGTGACGTGTTTACGTCAAACTCTCTAATATCGAGTTAGCCGGGCTGCAGGGCTCGGGTGGGTGTCAATGCCCCGACCTCGCCTGATCGACCCCCTTTCCCTCTCTCCTTTTAACTCCCATCCTGCGGACAGCGCCTTTGTTCAAAGAAGAGCATCTCTCTCTTGGTTTAGTCTGGATTATCCAGAGATCCATACCGCAAATCTTATAACCCATATGAAGACTCTCTCTCTCTCTCTCTCTCTCTCCTCTCTCTCCGTCCCTCACCCCATTAAGCTTTATTTTGATTTCACAACTGGAGGAAGACCTATGGTTTGTGGATTAGCTTGTCTTGGATAAAATGGAGGTTACATCACAGGGCTGTGCAGGTAAAGGAGAAAAAAAAACACAGGAAACCTTATAACAGAGGTTCGGGGTAGGTGGGATATTGACCCCTCCGGATGCTGTTGGGCTGCAGCCCTCCTTCATCCCAGCCAGCATAGCCAGGGTACAGGGCTGCTGGGTCACCTGGAGGGCCATATCATCCTCGCACCTGGTGCAGACACTTGATACCAAGTCCAGCCTTCTTCTGTTGGCAGGGAGGTCAGTCTGTCCCATTTCACCCAATTTCTCTTTCTCCTGCTCAGGATTTTCTGACGTGATGGTCAAAGTGGAGCAAGAAGAGGAGCCAAGTGGCCTCTACCAGTTGGGATCCGAGAGATTTCCAGGAACCAGTTCAGGTGACGGATGGGCTAGTAAGGGCTTTTTCTTTTCCCTGGCTTCGTTCTGAGTCATTTTTTGCATGGCCAGGGGTTGGGGATCATGGAAGTTGTAGTCCAGAACGTCTGGAGGCGTCCCGGTTCGGGAAACCTCCCTTGACACAACCACATCCATTTTTCGAGATGCCGGTGTGTCACCTATGTTTGACAGGCGACTTCTTCAGCCTATCTGGGCTATTGTTGCACTGGTGAGCATTGCAACACCTCTACGTGGTCACAAGTTTCAGCTTGAGCCATTGCAGAAGGTCCATCAGAATCCACCAGTAGATCTCTGGGGGGCTACTGGCCTATAGACAAGAATGTCTGCCTCCCAATAGCCACACTATTAAGGAGCTGTGCTTAATTAGTTGCTGAAACACTGTAGCCCTGCAGGCCATCTCTTCTTACCCCTTTCCCCTCACTTCAGGATTTCCTAATCTTATAAAACCAGAGAAGGAAGAGGACCTGTATTATTATGGATCTGAGGAATACCCCAGAGGTGCTGGAAAGCAGTCAGGTGAGGAGATGTTCCTTTGACTGCACGGATAGGGAACTGGGTTAGTTGATCTTTGGGGTCTCTCCCAACTGCAGTTCTGTGATTCTATGATTTTACAGTGATTGCAGCTGGTTAAATGAAGCATTGCATCCCCTTTTGACCCCCTCTTCTTGCTTCTTTCCCTTCATTCAGGATATCTAGACGATTTTGTTAAAGCAGAGGAAGAAGAGGGGCTGTACAGCCAGGGAGCTGAGCAATGCGCAAGTGTTGCCTGGGACCATTCAGGTGAAGGATGCGTTCATATCTCTGCATTGGAAAAGGACTGGGCTAGATGACCTTTGGAGTTCCTTCCAAATTGTAGGATTCCTAAAACCAGTGGGTTTGATGAAGCCATGCAGCTGTACTAACCACTTCCTTATGTCATGTTCCCTCCATGCAGGATTTCCTGATGTGGTTGTAAAGCCAGAGGAGGAAGAGGAATTTTCCAACAAAAGTGGAAGCGTAGCTGGTGTTCCTTCAGGTGAGGGAGAGGTTTGTATAACTTCATGAGCGGTAGGTTTGGCTAGATCAGTGGTTCTCAAACTGGGGTCGCTAGATGTTCTTGTATTGCAGATCCTGGAAATCCAGCATAGCAAGTGATGAAGGCTTCTGGAAATTGCAGTCCAAGAACATCTGGGGACCCTAGTTTGAGAACCACTGGGCTAGTGGGACATTCCAGGTCTGCAGTTCTGTCTTAATACAATGGCATGATTCTTGCAGCTCATTAAAAATAGCATTATGGCCACCGGCTTTGTTTTCTCGCCCTTTTGCTTCAATCCAGGATTTGCTGGTGTTGTCATAAAGCCAGAGGAGGAAGAGGGGCGGTGCAGTCAGAGATCTCTGGGAACTACGAGTGTTACCTGGGACCAGGCAGGTGAGGGAGGTCTTTATATAACTGGGGGTTCCCCATCAAGGCTACTTCATAGTATGTTGCCATACACGAAATCATATTATTTGTCTGTGTTCCCAAGTTCCAACATTGACTTTTCTGAGCAACAGCCCTCTTCAGAGTTTCAGGCAGACAGTCTTTCTCATCACTTGATCCTTTAAATGCAGAAATGGGAATTTCTTTTTCCTCTGATAAAATTGGTGACATTAAGGCTTCCCGTAAACAAGGATCTTTTGGTGGTAAACAGTGCATTAGAGATACAAAATGCAAACAAGCAAATAACGATTAAAACAGTGCACAGTAAAACCATGATCGAACCAGCAGCAGAGAGACAATACTCTGGTGCATGTGAAGCCAAAAAGGAACAAGCAACAGAACAAGCAACAACAAACCATGTCAAGATCTAAAAGCATTAAGATTATGTCCTAAAATGCTTACCTTTCAGCAGTTAAATAGAAATGCAAGCAATCAGGAAAAGAATGCATGGTCAGTGTCTCCAGGTAGGGAAAGGCCGCCTAGAGTGGTCTTTTCGGCCAGATGGGCAGGGTATAAATCAAATAAATAAATAAAATAAATAAATAGGGAATGCCAGCTTTGACTCCAAGGCCTGTCACCAGGCTACATGCATTGCCATGTACAAGGGAATATGTCACAATACAGAAAGATGTGTGCATGTGTGGTCCAGGTGGCATCATCTCAGAAGAAGCCTCCTTCCCAATCCACCCCTGTTCTTTTCCCCAGGCAGGAATCCCTCATCTAGAATTTTATTTTGTTTTTCCTGTATGTAGTTTTTAGAAGATTTTATCGCATAAAAATAACTCCTTGCTGAAATCTTGTTGCTTAGCATAGTAAGTTGAAACTAGAATAGGCCCCTTTCAATCAATGCAACTTTTGAGGAGTTGACACACCAATCCCCACTGATTCAATGGGCCTACTCTGTGACTTTTTATACTAAGCAACTGGATTTCAGCCGCTGAGTTCTTTTCACATCAACCAAGTAATTACAAGAAGGATACTTTTTTCCTACCAGTCAAGAGAAACAGTTTAAAGTTGGTAGATCTACATAATTCATTGCTGAAGCATTGCAGCCCAGCAGGCCATCTCTTCTTGCCTCTTTCCCTTGTTTCAGGGTTTTGTGACTTTTTTGTAAAGCCAGAGAAGGGAGAGGAACTGTGTAATCATGGATCTGAGGAAAATGCAAGCGGTGCTGTCAACCAGTCCGGTGAGGGAGATGCTCATGCAACTAAACTGATGGGGGAACAAGGTTAGCTGATCTTTGAGGTCTCTCTCAACTTTGCAGTTCTCCGAAGCTATAATTCTACAATTGTCCAATGCGTGGAGTCATTTAATTGATGAAGCATCGCATCCCTATTGATCGTTTCTTTTCCCCCTTTGTTCAGGAGGTCTGGATGTTTTCATAAAACCAGAGGAGGAGGAAGGGCTGTACAACCATGAAGCCGAAGGAGGTACAAATGTTGCCTGGGACCAGTCAGGTAAGGGAACCATTCATATGATCGCCTTAGCAAGGGGCTAGACTTGATAACCCTTGGAGTTCCTTTCAAATCCTACAGTTCTAGATGTTTGTGATCCCTAGAGCCATTTGGTTCCCGAAATAATGCAACCGTACTCACAACATTTTTTTTTGTCCTGTTCATTCAGGATTTCCTGACATTCTGGTAAAGGCAGAGGAGGAAGAGATGCTGTATAGCCAGGGAGTGGAAGAATGCGCAAGTGTTGCCTGGAACCATTCAGGTGAAGGACCAGTTCATACCACGGGCATTTGCAAAGGACTAGGCTAGGTGACCCTTGGAGTTCCTTCCAAATGCTGTTGTTCAAGCACTATATGCTTCCTAAAGCTGATGGGCTGATGAAGCCGTGCAGCTGTACTAACCACTTCCTTGTCTCCTGTTCTCTCCATTCAGGAGTTCCTGACTCTGTTATAAAGCCAGAGGAGGAAGAGGAATTGTTCAAGGAAAGTGCAAGTGTTTTTGGAGACCAGTCAGGTGAGGGAGGAATTCATAGAAGAGCAGCATTAGCAGAGGATGGGGTGAGGTGGACCTCGGGACGTCCTAATACTGCAGTTCTTTCATTTCTCTGCTCCTATAGTTGTAGTCCATTAATAGCAGAAGCATTGAATCTCTGCTGATTAGCTGTTTTTGCTTCTTCGCTTCAGGATTTCATGCCATTGTTATAAAGCCAGAGGAGGAAGAGGGGCTGTGCAGCCTGATATCTGGGGAAGGTGTAAAACTTTTTATACTAAGCAACTGGATTTCAGCCGCTGAGTTCTTTTCACATCAACCAAGTAATTACAAGAAGGATACTTTTTTCCTACCAGTCAAGAGAAACAGTTTAAAGTTGGTAGATCTACATAATTCATTGCTGAAGCATTGCAGCCCAGCAGGCCATCTCTTCTTGCCTCTTTCCCTTGTTTCAGGGTTTTGTGACTTTTTTGTAAAGCCAGAGAAGGGAGAGGAACTGTGTAATCATGGATCTGAGGAAAATGCAAGCGGTGCTGTCAACCAGTCCGGTGAGGGAGATGCTCATGCAACTAAACTGATGGGGGAACAAGGTTAGCTGATCTTTGAGGTCTCTCTCAACTTTGCAGTTCTCCGAAGCTATAATTCTACAATTGTCCAATGCGTGGAGTCATTTAATTGATGAAGCATCGCATCCCTATTGATCGTTTCTTTTCCCCCTTTGTTCAGGAGGTCTGGATGTTTTCATAAAACCAGAGGAGGAGGAAGGGCTGTACAACCATGAAGCCGAAGGAGGTACAAATGTTGCCTGGGACCAGTCAGGTAAGGGAACCATTCATATGATCGCCTTAGCAAGGGGCTAGACTTGATAACCCTTGGAGTTCCTTTCAAATCCTACAGTTCTAGATGTTTGTGATCCCTAGAGCCATTTGGTTCCCGAAATAATGCAACCGTACTCACAACATTTTTTTTTGTCCTGTTCATTCAGGATTTCCTGACATTCTGGTAAAGGCAGAGGAGGAAGAGATGCTGTATAGCCAGGGAGTGGAAGAATGCGCAAGTGTTGCCTGGAACCATTCAGGTGAAGGACCAGTTCATACCACGGGCATTTGCAAAGGACTAGGCTAGGTGACCCTTGGAGTTCCTTCCAAATGCTGTTGTTCAAGCACTATATGCTTCCTAAAGCTGATGGGCTGATGAAGCCGTGCAGCTGTACTAACCACTTCCTTGTCTCCTGTTCTCTCCATTCAGGAGTTCCTGACTCTGTTATAAAGCCAGAGGAGGAAGAGGAATTGTTCAAGGAAAGTGCAAGTGTTTTTGGAGACCAGTCAGGTGAGGGAGGAATTCATAGAAGAGCAGCATTAGCAGAGGATGGGGTGAGGTGGACCTCGGGACGTCCTAATACTGCAGTTCTTTCATTTCTCTGCTCCTATAGTTGTAGTCCATTAATAGCAGAAGCATTGAATCTCTGCTGATTAGCTGTTTTTGCTTCTTCGCTTCAGGATTTCATGCCATTGTTATAAAGCCAGAGGAGGAAGAGGGGCTGTGCAGCCTGATATCTGGGGAAAGTGTAAACATTGCTGTTGAACAATCAGGTGAGAGGGAAGTTTGTATTACTGGAGGCTCAGCATTGCGATGGATCCATAGGATGTGCTGCCTTATACCAGGCCATAATATTCATCCTTATCACAAGCCCAAACATCAGTTTTCTGAGCAACAGCTCCTCAGATTTTCAAGCAGATGGTCTTCCCCATCACTTGATCTTTTAAATGAAGAGATAAGGTCAAGGTAGCCCCTTGCTTCTTAATTTTTTCCTTTCCTTTTTCCTTTCCTTTTTTTGTGTGTGTTCAAGCTGACAGTCCCTGGGAATTTATCTTTTGGAAAGTAATCTGTATGCTTCTTCATATGCTTCTTCTTTAGAAGTCCTTGGAATTTTAAATTCTTGCATATAAATACTAGTGTTAGGTCCTAGGTAGCCCCATAGTTTCTGGGTTTTATTCAGTGATACTTAGTGAATGGTGTTCAGCTTGGTTTAGGATTTCACAAGGCAATGGATCATGAGAATTTCCCAATGACTGTCCTGCACAGCAATTGCTGATTTGGCCTCTAATTCATGGATGCTTCAATATTGACTCATTGTTTTGTTCTATTTATACAGTTTTGTTTTTTAACAACAAACCCCACCACCATTTCTTAATTCTGACTCATTAAGCATTTGTAGTTGATTTTTTTATATTTAAAAAAAGATATGGTTTTGAAAGAGGTGAGCTCAGAAGGTTTCTCAGCAACTACAGCAGGGAAAATAACATCACAGTATTTCATCTTCCCTTTCCTTTGGGATTTTCCTAATTAAAAGTCCCTTTTATGCCGATTAGGGTCCTTCTGCCCAAGCATCACAGTTTAATCTTGTTTGTTCTTTCCTTCTTTACAGTAGAAAACTGCGGGAAAACAAAAATGTGCATCAAGTGTGGGAAATGTTTCACCTGCAATTTGGATCTGGCCAGACACCAGAAGTCCCATGAGGAAGACAGAGAGAAATCCTACAAAGCCACCAAGGGAACATTTATGCTTCACCAGAAGGCCAACACTGGAAATAAACACTTCAAGTGCAGAATGTCTGGACAATGTAAGCCACTTGCCGGCCACCAGAAAATCCAAGCAAAACCACAACGATACAGATGCCAGGAGTGTGGAAAATGTTTTAGTCACCCTTCAAAGTTTCTGAGGCACCAGGCAGTCCATACAGGAGAGAAACCATACAAATGCGACTGGTGTGGAAAATGTTTTCCTCAGAATTCACATCTTGTGACACATCAAGTAGTCCACACAGGAGAGAAACCATACAAATGTGACGAGTGTGGGAAATGTTTTTCTCAGAATTCAAACCTTGTGATGCACCAAGCCGTCCACACAGGAGAGAAACCCTATGAATGTGAGCTATGTGGAAAGAGTTTTGCTTATAAATCGGACCTTGTAAAGCACCAAAGAGTCCACACAGGAGAGAAACCATACAAATGTGACGAGTGTGGGAAATGTTTTTCTCAGAATTCAAATCTGGTGAAGCATCAGGCAGTCCACACAGGAGAGAAACCCTATAAATGTCAGCAGTGTGGAAAAAGTTTTCCTCAGAATTCAAACCTTACGATGCATCAAACGGTCCACACAGGAGAAAAACCCTATAAATGTGAGCAGTGTGGAAAATGTTTTTCTCAGAATTCAAACCTAGTGATGCATCAGGCAGTGCACACCGGAGAGAAACCCCACGAATGTGAGCTGTGTGGAAAGTGTTTTGCTTATAAAGCAGATCTAGTAAAGCACCAAAGAGTTCATACAGGAGAGAAACCATACAAATGTAAACAGTGTGGAAAATGTTTTTCTCAGAATTCAAACCTGGTGACACATCAGGCAGTGCACACAGGAGAGAAACCATATAAATGTGATCAGTGTGGAAAGTGTTTTTCCCAGAATTCAAATCTTGTGACACATCAGGCAGTCCACACAAGTGAGAAACCATACAGATCACAGGAATATGAAAAATATTTTGCTCACAGTCCACACATTGTGAGCAATGAAAAAGTACACAAAGGAGAAAGAACATATAAATGCCAGGAATGTGGGAAATGTTTTGCTTCCAGTTCAATTCTTGTAAAACACCAGGGAGTCCACACAGGGGAGAAACCATACAGATGCCAAGAATGTGGAAAATCTTTTGCTTACAAGGCAGATCTCGTGAAACACCAGAGGGTGCACACAAGAGAGAAGCCATACAAATGTTGTGAGTGTGGGAAATGTTTTGCTCAGATTTCAAACCTCGTGATGCATGAGAGAGTCCACACAGGGGAGAAGCCATTTAAATGCCAGGAGTGTGGTAAATGCTTTGCCTCCAGTTCAATCCTTCTGAGCCAGCACAGAGTCCACGCAGGAGAGAAACCATTCAAATGTGAGGAGTGTGGTAATTGTTTTGCTTGGAGAGGCAACCTTGTCAAGCATCAAAAAGTTCACAGAGGAGAGGCTCCGTACAAATGCCAGGAGTGTGGAAAATGTTTTGCTTACAATTCAGATCTTGTGAGCCACCTGAAAATCCACACAGGAGAGAAACCCTACAAATGCCCAGAATGCGGGATATGTTTTGCTTCCAGGTCTGACGTTGTGATCCATCGGAAAAATCACACAGGAGAGAAACCATACAGATGCCAGGAGTGTGAGAAATGTTTTGCTTGGAATTCACAGTTTCTGAGGCATAAGGCAGTTCACACCAGAGAAAAACCATACAAATGTGAGCAGTGTGGAAAAAACTTTGCTCGGAATTCAAATCTTGTGACACATCAAGCTGTCCACACCGGCGAGAAACCATATGAATGCCAGGAGTGTGGAAAATGTTTCTCTCAAAAGGCAAAGCTTTTCAAGCACTATAGAGTCCACACAGGGGAAAAACCATACAGATGTCAGGAGTGCGGGAAGCTTTTTGCCGCAAGCTCAGCCCTTGTGATCCATCAGCGAAAACACACAGGAGAGAAACCTTACAAATGCAAGGAGTGTGGAAAGTGTTTTGCTTGCAATACACATCTTGTGAGGCATGAAAGGATCCATACTAAAGAGAAACCATATAAATGCCAAGACTGTGAGAAATCTTTCACTCAGAAATATCAATTTATGATACATAAGAGAGTCCATACGGGAGGGAAACTATATAAATGCCAGGAATGTGGAAAATGTTTTGCTCAGAATGCACGACTTGAGACTCACCGGGCAATCCATACAGCAGAACAGCCATACAAATGCCAGCAGTGTGGGAAATGTTTTGTTCAGCGTTCACGACTTATGAGGCACCAGGCACTTCATACAGAAGAAAAACTAGTAAAATCATAGCTTTGTACCCCTGGAGGACACCTCAGGTTTCCCAGGGTCCAGTTTTGTGCTGAAATCCATACAGAGCCCATATCTGATGGCAGGGCATCCAACCTCTGTTTAAAAGCCCCCATCAATGATGCTCCATCAGTTTCTGAGGTGGTTATTAGACCCATGAACGTATGTTCATTTCAGGATGGAAATAAAAGCTAAACAAAAAATAAGAGGCAATTATGAACATAAGAAGAGCCCTTGCAGGATCAGGCCAAGGGTCCATCTAGTCCAGCTTCTTGTATCTCACAGTGGCCCCACCAGATGCCTTTGGGAGCGCACGAGACAACTAGATCCCTATCTCCTGATGCCACTGCCCTGCATCTGACATATGGAGGGATCTTCTTTTGAAGCCTGGAGATTATACATTCCCATCATGGCTTGTAACCTGCAATGGACTTTTCCTCCAGAAATTGGTCCAATCCCCTTTTAGAGGCATCTAGGCCAGATGCCATCACCACATCCTGTGGCAAGGAGTCCCACAGACTAACAACACTCCGGGTAAAGAAAGATTTTCTTTCGTCTGTTCTCACTCTCCCAACATTCAATTTGGCTGGATGTCCCCAAGTTCTGCTATTGTGTGAGATGGAATAAAGAAATAAATCTGTAATACAAATATCACCATGAACACTTGAAGACCGCCTCTTCAAACATTCATAGACAAAAGAGGAAATCTACATTTTTTAAAAAAATTGGCAGCGGGGTTTTGTGAGATAGGTAAAGGTTCCCCATAACATTTAGTCCAGTCATGTCCGATCTAAGGTGCAGTGCTCATCCCCGTTTCCAAGACGTAGAGCCAGCATTTGTCTGTAGACAGTCTCCGTGGTCATGTGGCCAGCATGACGACACAGAACGCTGTTACCTTCCCACCGAGGTGGTACCTATCTATCTACACTCATTTTTACATGCTTTCGAATTGCTAGGTTGGCAGGAGCTGGAACAAGCAACAGGAGCTCACTCCATCGCGTGGATTCGATCTTACGACTGCTTGGTCTTCTGACCTTGCAGCACAGAGGTTTCTGCGGTTTAACCCACAGCGCCACCATGTTTGTGAGATACTGATTATCAAAAGAATAACTATGTTAGGAGACTTTAGAGGTGTTGTCTAAAATGAAACACATCTTTCAATAACGACTGCTCGCTTTGCACCTTAAGAGATAAACAGTCGTGGTCTTGGGGAATGAGAAGTGAAAATTAAAACAATGTTATTTTTGATACCTCTTTGTACTGGGGGGAGGATCTTAGCGCTATGGCACTTCTAGGTCAAGTATATATAAGAGGGCTGTGTGTTTTAGAAGCCAGTTGGAGATAAAGTTTTTCTTTCACTCGTGGTTCCTTTTGATTTCTGCTTGTCTTGCATTCTTGTGAGCTAGAGGGTGGTTGAAGTGTGTAAAAGATCAGTAAGTAGTAAGCAAATGCCAAAGGCCTTGAAGAGAAATTGTAAAAGTTGGAAAAAAATTCCTTTGGAATGAAGACGTCACTGAAATTCACTTCAGTTCATGAGTTGTAATTGTCTTACAGTGAAGCTGACAAAGGGCTGTGTTGCTCAGCTGTTCTGTGTACTGAGGAACATGGGTGAGGATGTGGGTCCTGATAAATTCTATCATCTTTCAGGACAAGTAGCAACAATGCTGGTGGAACAAGGCAGCGCACCGACTTCCTCTCGAAGGCCCCTACGACAGTTCTAATTTTGGTGTGAAGAATCAAGCTGTGAAGGCAGGAAGGGACGGTGGGAAACAGGGGGACCAAGAAAGCAGGACTTGCCTTTTGAACAGAATTTAGGAAATGGGATTATTCATTTATTTTATTTAACTTGTACATCACATTACTGTTTACCAAGGCTCATGGACAGGTACTAAAATAATCAAAAACAGGTTAAAACATTCAGAATAAATTGAAAATATTGGTAAAAAGTTATTAGAAACACCTAAAAGATTGTACAGCATTCCCCACAAGAGAACTTTTAAAAAAAGTGCCCCACTCTAGAGACAAAAGACCCAGTACTTCTTTAGCTATCTGTTGGAAATAAATACTGTACAAATATATATTTTTTGAAAAGGTGTAACATTCCCCAGCCATTGGAGAACAGTTTGAGAGGAGCTCCAGGAAACTACAGAGAAGATCCAGATTTACTTGCAAAAAGACAAGTTTATTGAGTAACTTACATAGGCACTCAATGGGATGGGTAACGGCGTGTATCATGAGTCACAGCGTGACGTCTGAACACCCACTGAGTAAAGCAAACAATATAAAGTTTTGCTGTTTACAATAATAATCTGCAGCTGGGTAATACATCATTACTATACTGTATTATACAGTACTTTGGAGAATGAGACAGTATGTTAATTTTTCCTAATGCAGTGTCTCATGTGATAAAATCAGGCATGTACAGTAAATAAGCTCATTAGTAACAGCTGATAAGGCAATATCTGCCTCTTCATGCTCCCAAAATATAATTAATGCAGCTTGCATATCCATTGTCCATCACCGAACAACTGGAGCAACTTTACGCAAAATGGATGACAGCAAATCAAAATGGAAGATGGACTGCTGCTCTAGGTTCTGGGCCCAGTGTGTTCCAGCAGACTAATTGGGGAGCCCTCGGGGAGCCTCAGCAGAAGGGGCGTATAAAGAACATGACAATAGTCCTATCGGAAAGGACCTTCAGGGAGTCTTGCAAATAAAAAAATGCTTTGGGGCACTAAGAACAGATACATTCTCATGGCCAAGGCAGCATGTTTAGAGAAATCTGTTTCTATGAAGAATGCTCCCTCACTTCAAATAAAAGAAAAAAAAATATGTATCACTTAATTATCTTCCAAATGTAAACAGTGGCTGAAATCCTGCTGCACAACTCTGGATCAATGTCAAATTACTGCTGATTAAGGATTTTCTTAGTGGATTTTGTACTGCTAGTGAGTTTGTCATGTTATGTACCCCAAAATTGCCTTTAATCAGCAGTGATTTTCCTTTCATCTGCAACTTGCCACTGATGCCGATGTTATTACCACTGCAAACACCAAGGTGCACAACTGAATCACAACCACTGCCTTTGTTTCCTTGTATTCTTCCAGAGTCATGCACAGGAAAACAAATCATACTGGTGGAGGAAAAGCATTGTTAAAAGCAGAAAAACTGCATTTTTCTGAACATGTGTTTTATGCACATGTTCTTTGATATATTTCATTAATCTTTGATATATTTATCACTCATACCAAGCTTGTAAAGTCAGCTTGGCTGCCTGAAGGAGAGATTCTGAGGTAGCCATCTAAGAACACACGAAAGAAAGGATGGAGGATTTCTCCTAAGAACGAGGCCTCAGAGAATTTACAAAAGGTGGCCCCTGTATCAGCATCATCAAAAGACACACAGGCCCCGTCATAGTCCAGACACACCCGAATCCTCTTGAGGTCTCCCTTCAGGGTCAAAGGAGTGTAACGAGGAGGGTAATAGGCCTTGTACTTGCCCTCTGACTTCCCTACAGCCCAAATCCCTTCCTCAGAGCTTATGTTAAGGGGGCCTTTTCTCTTGACAGACTTTTTGGCAACCCCTACTGCCCACTCTTCCTCACTTCCCACAAGGACTTCCCAGAAATGTCTGCCTGCTGAGAATCCTTCACGTCCCAGCACGAAAGGGCAGAGGTGAAATCTCTCCGGATTCTTGGGGAGATCTTGATATTTCTTTCCCCATCTCACGCTTTTACAGTCCGCAGATAGGATGAGCCGGGGAAAAGCTGTGTCGGGATCCAAGGTTACATTTGCTGTAGGAAATGGAGGAAGAAGATGAGAAGTAAAATAGAAATAACTATGAGCCTCATGGCGCAGTGGTTAAAACGCTGTACTGCAGCTAAAACTGTGCTCACGACCTGGGGTTCAAATCCCAGGTAGCCGGCTCAAGGTTGACTCAGCCTTCCATCCTTCCGAGGTCGGCGGTATATAAGTCCAATAAATAAATAAATATAAATAAATAACAAAACCCACAGAAGGCTAATGCCCTGCAACCAGCACAGCAAAGTTACCACATTCCCTTCTAAAATCACCACAACTTCTCTGTCTTCCAAGTGTTTGTGTAATAGTATTCCTTCCCTCCTGGTTCTCATTCAGTGGCCACTTTCAAGATGCCAAGTGTACAAACATGCACACACAAAGATGCACACCCACAAGAAAACAGTTGCTCTGCTCTTGTTTCAATGACAAATGGAGATAACATGTAAAGAAATTTCCACAGGGATACCAGTGGGCACTCTTGCCACAGCAAAAACAATAAAGTGACCCGGGGGGGGAACCTTAAAGACCATCATATTTACCACACCTTCTGGGGTATATACAGTAACCCAGGAGATGGGCCAGTTTTTTCTCGATCAGGGCAACAGAAGGAAATTGAATTGGAGATTCTAACAGAAGCCATGACTAAAACTATCCACTTGCAAAACTCTCGTTGATAACGCAATCCCCCTGGAAGGAGTGAATTTGTGCTCCGTTTTCCAGAAGGGATTGGACTCCATTGAGGGGAGCAGAGAACAGCCGCCATGTTCTACTCTCTCTTCACTCTGGATTGGGAATAACAGCCAAGGTTGGGAACAAGAAATTTAGAATCCCTGACTTACAAAGCCCTGAACAATTTGGGACCTCTTTACCTCTTGGAGCGCTTCCCCCCAAGAATAGGAACCAAACCAAACCGAGCCTTTCAGGCTTCACTATTGAGGGCGCCCATCTTGAGGGAAAATAAAACTAACGCCAGGAATCGGGCCTTTTCAGCTGTGGCACCCTCCTTAAGGAACAAACGTCTGATAGAAATTAAGATGGGCCCCCTTCCCAAAAGACCTTCAGATGATGATGATGATTCAACAGACTCAACTGTTCAGGGTGCCCTTTGGCAACATCTTAAGTTAAATTTCTGTGAACCTAGAAGATTCTGCTGTAACAATGACTGACTGACTAAACAAACAAACAAACAAACGCCTGCACAGGCCTTCACTGGCTCCCGGTTTATAGACAACGAGATCTCCAGTTCAACAACATTTTTACTCAGCAACAAGTGTGGTTGCGCTACCAGCACTTCAAAAGTTTCATCAAACCGAGCCTTTCAGGCTTCACTATTGAGGGCGCCCATCTTGAGGGAAAATAAAACTAATGCCAGGAATCGGGCCTTTTCAGCTGTGGCACCTTCCTTAAGGAACAAATGTCGGATAGAAATTAATATTAAAATTAAGTTCCCAAAAGACCTTCAGATGATGATGATTCAACAAACTGAACTGTTCAGGGAGCCCTTTGGCAACATCTTAAGTTAAATTTCTGTGAGCCTAGAAGATTCTGATGTAACAATGACTGACTGACTAAAACAAACAAACAAACAAATGCCTGCACAGGCCTTCACCGGCTCCCAGTTTATAGACAATGAGATCTTCATTTCAACAACATTTTTACTCAGCAACAAGTGTGGTTGCTCCACCATCTCTTCAAAAGTTTCATCTTCCTTTAATGATTGCAACGTATGAACCGCCCTGCTTCGTGTCCCATGGAGCTTCCGGATTCAGCAAGACATTCCCCCAAACCTCTGCCTGTTGGTAGGGTACGCAGCGGTGGACACTTTCTGGCACAAAGACTGCCGCAGCAGGGGTGACGAGTAGGGATGGGCACGAACCGCTGGTTCGCCGGTTCGTGCTGGTTTGTTTACCGTCTGAAGAGGTGTTTGGCAGTCCCCAGCCCAGCCTCCTCTAGTGGGCGCGCACTCAGGGGCTGAGCATGGAGGAGGCAGGCAGGGAAGCCAGGGTGCTGCCTGCCAGAGGAGACACCACTAGGAACTGCCAAACACCTACTCGGCTGGTAAACGAACTGACACAAACATCAGTTCCTGCCCATCTCTAGCGATGAGCCCAGTGCCTCTCAGAGTCCTGCTCCTTCTACAAACCCATCAGGGAAGCCAGGGTGCTGCCTGCCAGAGGAGACACCACTAGGAACTGCCAAACACCTATTCAGCTAGTAAATGAACTGGCACAAAAAGAACAAACAGCAGTTCCTGCCCATCTCTAGCGACGAGCCCAGTGCCTCTCTGAGTCCTGCTCCTTCTGCAAACCCATCACCCTGTTTCCCCCAGTCACTGAAAAGGATTTCCTCTTCCTTCCTTCCTCTTTGACCTGCAGTCACGTGATCTTTTATCTTTCTTTTCTTTTTCAACTTTCTCTATTCTCTCAGTTCTCGCTCACCCCAGTAAGTATGAGGATTTCCTACAGACCTGCCGTTTCTTTCTTTATTTTATTTATTTATTTATTTTATGTCCCGCCTATCTGGTCGGATCAGGACCACTCTAGGCAGCTAACAACATAAAAGTACAATAAAATAGATATATAAAAGAATTGTTAGATAGTAAAACATTACACAAAGTGGAGGAAACAATAAGAGAGGGGAAAAAGGGCGTCAGGAATTATCTGATGGGAAGGCCTACCGAAACATCCATGTTTTTAATTGATTCTTAAAGATACCCAGCGAGGGAGCCGCATGAATCTCAGGAGGTAGGTTGTTCCTCTCTTCCTCAACTTTTGGAACCTGGAATGCGACCAGTTCTCACGTCCACGGATCTTTGGCTTCCTGATTCCCAGCCCTCAGGTAGCTGTAACTGGGGATCCATCCTTCTGCTCTCCTTCAGCTCCTCCTTCTCCCACCTCCTGTGTCTCCTCCCTATTTCTCTCCTTCGTGCTCACCATTATTCCTTTCTCCTCCCCTGATTCTTTTCCC